AATCAACTTCATGGTAACTGGTTTTTTACAAGTCTAACACAAAGTTATCGGTTAAGTAACATGAGACTGTCACAATTTTTCTTTTCTACTCTCTCTAGCACACTAACAAATGCGGTTGTTTTTAATGTTCATTTAAAAATATATTTATTATTTTATGAAGAATCTCACTCATAATGTTTTCAATTATATTAACTCTCTAACATCCCTGAAAACAGATGGTGTTTCTGCTCCCATTTTATATAGGAGGAAATCAGATGTTAAATTTTGAATGAAAGAGCACAAATACCATCACCATAAGATAAGACAGCATAATGTGAATTACTAGAAATTTAAGATGGATAGATGGATGGGTGGGTGGGTAAATAGATAGACTGCTTTCTTTGTTAAAAGCTTTGTTTTGTCTTTTTAAGGAATCTAATTTCTTCAGTGTTTTTAGAGTCTTAAATATGATAATCATAGGGTTTTCCCCCCTATTTTCTGTATTAATAGTTAGAGCAATTTAAAACTAAAATTATTATATAATTAATAAAAGATACTTACATTGAATTTAATTATGTCATATATCAAATATCTGGGAACAGCCTGTCCATTTACTTTGTCAATAATCATCTCCTTGAAAGAGAAAAAAAAACAAGTATCTTCACATTCTAATAGCAACTTCTTTAGTTTTATTGAAATAGGACACACAGAAAACATATCATAAGTATAAAACTTGATGAAATTTCACAAAGTGAATACACTTCACCACAGACTAAGTCAACACAAAGTCAACACCCAAGTCTAGTCTACCGTGCATTGATTCTATCCTGAAATAAAAACATATCTCATTACATTGTCTTACATTTGAATTACTGTGCTATATTTTGTTTTATGTTTGAATTCCTAAGCTATTATTAAGATGAATAATCTATAGATTTCAAATGATGAAAGCCAGAGTTATTATTCTAATAATTTTAATCCTCAATGCATTAAATTCTGTCATGCTAATTACTTCAATCATAAAGCTACAGATAAAAAATAGCTGCCTTGCTACATATTTAATCCCTTTGTGATCCAGATGGCATTTCTTAGTTGTACTTCTACTGGATGTTAACAAAAAGGTACAGAGGGTATGAACAGATCGATGCAAATCTATCACAGCCACTAAACAACATAATCTGTATTCTGGCAGAAAAGAGATAAAAACAATAAAGGCTGATTTTAAGTCTATATACAGGAATTTATAGTCTTTTTTTATTCTTAAAAATAGTTTAAGCGTAGAAATGTTTCCTTCTTCAATTTCTAGGAAAATAGGCAATTTTTTTGTTATCTAATTTCATGAAAAGACATTCACATACAACCACATGAAGTGGCAAAAAGCACATTAAAATATAATTTGCTATCATTAGAAAGCATTAACAATTTGTTTCCTGAACATGTTCATCTAAGTTACATTTATTTATGGTTATCTTTCTTTCACTTGACATAAATCACTTTATATCCATTTATATGAATATATATCAAATTTATATTCATTTGACATACCATATACACTCATGTATAAGCCGAGTTTTTCAGCACATTTTTAATGCCGTTTTTGTGGTAAAATTAGGTGCCTCAGCTGATATTCGTGTCCGCTTATACTCAAGTATATACGGTAAATACTTTCCTTCCGCATTTTTTAATGTATCATTTTTGTTTCTGAGCATTTTATAGGCCAACAAGGCATGCAAATAATAGGCTTCAATTAATTAGTCTTTTCAAAAATGTATGATTGGAAGTGGACTTCAGGTTCAGATAGCATACATCACAGAATTTCCTTCCCAAATTACCTAATGAAACAAAAACTTTTTTCTTTAGCATTTTTTATGAAGGGAAAAATATATAATCAGCAAATAAAAATAAAAACTGTAAAAACTGACATCCAAGGAAACTGCCAAACATTGCAGTAAAACAAGCAGTACAGAATTTCTACGGCTATCTTTATGGGAGTAGAAAGCTGGGTGCTTCAAACTGTGGGTCCTGCACTTAGCAGTCCACCAGGGCTTCTGACAAACTCCTGATAATTTTCACAATGACACTCAAATGCAGACAGAGGCGACCTCGGAGGTCTCCTGGTGTTGCCACTCCACTCCCCTTTTAACTGTTAAATAGTTAAACACTCTTTCTGCCTGAAGTAAAGACTCCAGAACCAACAATCAGAAGCATTAATGGAAAAATAATAACCCCCAAACAACTGAAAAAGATTAATCACAAAAGTAAAAAGATAATAATGGTATACAGAGATTCTAACCAAGACCCAGAACCTCAGCTGAGCCCTTCCCAATGAAGGGCTCTTATCATGTTCCCTTCCCTACAGCTGTCACATCATTGCCAAAAAAAAACCAAAATCCAGTAAATTCTAACTCAGTACAGAAGTACCCCACTAGAGTTGCAAGACTGAACACCTTTATGGAAGTGGACTGCCACACCTTTCTCCCACACAGCAACTACAGACCAAAGATCTTTCAGTTCGCAGCAGTGTTTAACAAATACACCACCATAGTTCCTATCATTGTCGTGAGCTACAGAATGGTTGGTAAACATTAAATACCCAACCTTAAAATTTACATTCGGGGAAAAATTACACTAAGCTTCTATTTGGGGCCAGAATATAGTAATAAAGAATGAATCTACCCATGAAACAAATTAAACAATAGAAACAATAAAATCCTTCACTACTGTAACTGGAGGCTTAAATTTACTCTTCACCAGGAGCCCTGGTGGTGGCGTACTTATACAATGGTCTGCTAACCATAGGTCAGCAGTTTGAAATCACCACCATTCTGTTGGAGAAAGACAGGGCAGGGCTTTCTACTTCTGTAGAGAATTACAGTCCAAAAATTGACAGGGCAGCCCTACCCTGTCCTAGAGGGTCGCTATGAAGCAGCAATGGCCCTGTGGCAGTGAGTTTGGTTTTCTAAGTTTTCTACTTTGAGGAGGCAGCTCTTCCTACCTCTTCATATTCTGAGTGCCTTCCATCCTGAGGGGCTCATCTTCTTGCACTAAATCAGACAGTGCTCTGTTGCTATTCAGTGTGTTCAATGGCCTCCCTGCGCCACACACATACACACACACCCCAAAAATAGATCACCAGGTCCTTCCTTCCTAATTTGTCTTAGTCTGAAAGCTCTGCTGAAACCTGTACTCCATGGGTGCCTGTTCTTTCTAGTATCTCAAACCTGGGTGGCATCACTTCTAGCAACACAGCAACAAAGAAGCCATCATTAGTATGACAAACTGGCAGAGGAAGTGGTGGTATAATCCAATAGGTGATAATAATATTGTAAATTAAACAGTGGTGATAACTACTAAATCTGATGAACATACGAAAACTTTTCAATTCTTTACTTGGGTGTGTGAATATCTCAATAGAAAAAAAGAGAAAAATTACGAATAATAAAACAATACACCTAAGAGCAGTTGTTCAGACTAAAGGAAAATAAGCAAACCTCAGATACACAGAAACTACCACCACCAGAAAGGATAAATACAGAGATATAAAAGAACTTCCTCAACCTAGTAAGAGCCATTTACAAAAGAAAACTCATACTAAGCATCACTCTTGATGGTAAAGGACTGAGTTCTTCCTCACCAAGAAAAGGAACCAAACTGCTCTGTCAATTCTATTCAACACAGTATGGAAGCCAGGGGAAGAAAGAAGAAGGCATGGAGAAAAGAGGAAGGAAGGAGAGGAAAAGAGGATAAGCTGATCAGAACATTCTTACAGCTATGGAAAGGACTAAAAATTGGGATTTCAGGACTTATCACAGACCGAAAGCAATCAACACAACAGAGCACTGACCTAAGGGTGATATGCACGCAAACTCAGTCACTACCATGCAGTCAATTCAGACTCCCAGCAACCCTGAGACAGAGTAGAACTGTGCCTGTGGGTTTCCAGGAGATATAAAAAGTCTCCGCTTTCTCCCTTGGAGTGGCTGAAACCCACTATACCACCAGGAATCCTTAGGATAACATCGAGATAATATAAAATTGAGTCCAGAAATAAATCTTTACAGTAACAGAGAACAGACTTGTTGACTAAGGTACCAAGACAGTTAACGGAGAGAGAATAATTTGTTGGTTTGTGTGTTGGATCCTGTGCTAGACAGGGTTCTCAAGAGAGATAAAACCAAATTGCTGATAACTTAATATATTTATTTATAAAGATAATTAGATATATAACACAAGAAATGAACTGTTAAATTATATACAGATA